AGACAAATGAATTTTTAAAAACCTTGTTGTGCCTAATCGTTCACTCTCTTAATTTATTCCCCGAAAGATTAGATTTCCCACCCACGAGGTAAGTTGGAAGGCGAGATATGTGGGCTGACTGATCGATTGGTAGTTAGTCGTTGTTGGTTGTTGGCTTTCGCGTTAGTGGCATCAATTTCCTGGCACCTTTCCCCACACCATATAGTACACCCACTTCAACTGCCGCCGCATGCTAATGTTATAAAATTTGCAATTATTGCGTTTACTCCCATTTACCAGTGAGTTGGTGCTTTCGGTTTGTTGTGCCCGCCGATGCCGTTCCGCGCTCTTTATTGTCGGTGCACACGGGCCACATCCAAAGAAATAAAAAAAATATATAAATAAATAAAATCAGGCTAAAGCTAGGAACAGGGGTGCTTTGCGAAGTCCAAGTGTCGGAATAAGAGGAAAATTGCAATAGAGAACATTCACGCCTGGCGCCAATCGGGGTCCTATTCCAGCAAAGCACCAGCATATCAGATCTAGGGATGCAAAGGAACGCTTATACGATAACATCTGCATTCCAATACTTCTGGTAATTAAACATAAGTGAAAGAGTAGGTTACTCTAAGTATGTAGTTGTAAATTTCATACATTTTCAATACTGAAATTCCATTTTTTACAAATAACCCAATAATCACCCCAAAGCTTTCGTCAGTTTTTCATATTACTATTATTTCAATAGTTCGGTTCTCCTTAAACTGGTATTTATGCCATTTAAGCGAATGTACTTCCTCACAATCCTTATCCAATCCAAAGCTTCCGTTCAAAACAAAGGGCACTTTAAAAGGCAGAAGACAATTTCCTAGAAAGTATTCCAATCCCCCTAGTTTCAAAAATCACCTTCCTCGTCGGTGTTCTCACATGTTTTTCATAACAACCAACAACTTTTTGTCGGAGTTAAGGGTCCAGGAAGTTTGGGCAGGTGGCAGGCAGGAGCTTTGCCCATAATGCACGCCACAAATAATTTGCAAATTACGGGCGCAGGTAATTGTCGTCGCCATCGTTTTCCCCCTTCGTCCGTCCGTCCGTTGGTTGTTGCTGCAGCAGGTGAGAAGAAAATAAAATACAAAACCGTGGACGACGATGACGGCATCGTTCTCGTTGTGTGGCTGCAATTACGAAAGTGAGGACTCCTGCTGAGCAGGAAAATCCTGGCGCCAGGGGTCCAAGTCCGTCCTTTGTTTGGCTTTCCATTCGCCCTCGCTTTTTCGACCGCGCCATAATTGGGTCATAAAAAGTTATTTGTGTAAAATTATGAAAATAAACTCAATTGCAATAATTTGCTATAGGAGAATTCCAAACAAAAGACCGCGCCAACCGGACTACCAGGAAATGATCAAGAAGTAGCTCCGTGCTTCGGGAGTTCCGACTAGGCTGCGTGTGGCCAGCAAGTGGAAATGCAAACAATTGCAAATCACTGGAAATTTCTACATTTATAATTTTCCCGAGAAAGCGCAAGACAGCTTTAGTAAATTGAAGAGTACAAACCTCTCTAAAATTAGACAGGTTTGTGCCAAGGAAGCAATTAGTAATGGTATAAGTGAAACGAGTGAAATAAGTATAGAATCGCTCCCAGGAAGAATTCGATCTCATGACTTTTGGAATAATAAGAGTCTTCTTATATATCCAAAATTTGTAGGTTACAGCTTGCATCTCAAGCTGAAAACTTGGATAATACAACCATATCTATTACCAGAATCGAAAATTATTTAAAAAATAAACAAAATCAATCTGATGCATCTTAGGAGCCAATATTTCCACATTTAATCAATATTAATTCAACTCTGTAGCGGTCTCATAGTGGAAATTAAAAGAATGACTGCTCCATTAGGCCCACATTAAAGACCATAAAATTGATGGCTTCAATATATCAGATTTATCCGCCGCCTGCACTGCCTGCTGTCAAGCGCAACGGTAAATTGCCATTCGATATGCAAATGGCAGCCGCATTCACAAAACGCTGCGCTTTTCAATTGCTTTTCTCTCTGCATTGAAATCAATTTAACTTTCTGCTCAATGCCAATCATTGGCACCCCACACATCCCCCACACACACACAAACACACACAACACTTGCTCGTTCGCTTCATCTCGCTCACGGCTACATCAGTTCCGGCTGCAGCTCAAATCGGTGAAAGCAAGACGGACGACCAACCGGCAGACCAAGTGCTGTGTGGCTGAAAAAACAACACAAACAATCAAACGGATCCAAAACGCTTATTTCAAAATTCATTTGTCATTTGTGACAGGCGAACCAATATCGAAAGGGGTGGGCACTGGCGGGGGCTGCTTTTTCCTTTTCTTCACTTTACTTTTTTGTGGGGGTTGGTTAAGCTCCTTCATGGCCAAGCCAAAAGCAAATAAACGTAACGTTTTGAGCAAAAACTATTTCTATAAATATACCCTTTCCAAGAAGGTATCTATACGTTGTGTATAAACCAGTATATTGTTTAATTATTATTCTCCATATTTTATAAAATTCCTCGTCTTATTTTCTAATTTTTATTAACCTTTGTTACTAGAAACTAAAACTAAAGTTTTCATTTTGTAAAACGGCGAAATATAGGCTTTCCCTAATATTTCTTCGTAATTTAACTTTCATAGAACCTCAGAAAAGAAAAAAATAATAACGATATTTTTATTTAGGACGCTGTAAAGAATGGAGAATCGAACTGCATTTCTCCCCCTGCACAGTTGAGAACTACGAGTTGCGGGCAATTTTCATCCGGCTCCTGACCGAGTCCTTTCCGTTTCGCTCACCTTCTCGGCGCGAGCACCAGTTCCGCAATCAGGAAGGAACATGACATAACACAACGGTAATAGGAAAATCATCGATTTTATTTGATTTATTTGCGGGAGCCTTTCCTCCTCGCCCCAGTTGTTTCTTGCTTTAATCGTTCCCGCTTTTCCCGCCTTCCCGCTGCGTGGGTTCAACCACCGAAAAAAGCTCCTGGCGGTGTGAGGCTCCTGCTCTCTTTGTGGGCTCTGTATGTTGGGTGGCTCTCGGCGGACTGCGGCGGTGCGGGCAATAAATCTCGGAAATTGTGTCAGAAAATGTTTCTCTGGCGTGGTATAAATACGCACATCGTTTAGGCAGGCGACTGGCGAAAGCCAGAGGGATGAATCCAGGGGTCAGGGCGACCATATTGAAATTAGAGGCACTTCCGTTTTGGATTTGCTCTGTTAGTCTGTGTATATGTTCGCTACGGTTTGTGCGGTTGCCGCCGTGAGGGAATATGCCAAACTAAGTGCCGGAAAGATATGCGTAACGAATATATGCCCAAGGAACAAGGAGGAGAAATATCGGCACAAACATTCACCCTCAGAGGCCGCAGGGGAAGTCCCCTTTTCTATTTCTAGCCTTTGGGTCGGGAGCGTCCGTCTTCAGTCTCCGGGTTTGTATTTTTTGTTTACACTTTTGCTCAAAATAATTCAAAGTTATTTTATTCGACCGTATATTTTTAGTTTTTTTTTTTTTTTTTTATTTGTTTGTTTTGATACGATACAAAACAATAATTGGGCCACAAGCCAGTGCGATAAAGGCATAAAGAATTTCTATTAATACAAAGGCGCGATGTTGTGTTCGGTTGTTTGGGAATGATGAATTGAATAGATATTCCATTAATGGTTGGGGCAGAAATATATATATTTATCAATTGCGTAAATTGGAATAAAGCCAACGTTAAGTCTTTTGTTTAATATTATATTTTATAGTTATTTAGTTAAAGTTTAACTGAGAATAAATACAAAGAACAATTGATATTAGCAAACGCATAATGCCTGCACTATAGTACATTCATCCCAAGTATCGTAAGTTTTAGACGCTAATAAAATTAAGTTATAATGATGTCACTGTATTCCTTTATATTTGCGTCACTTATGGAAATTAATATCAAATTGTTTACCAACCAAAGATCTCACTGAGATGACCCTCAACTGGGACCCCTGTCCAAGTCATCGATCTTCAGCACTCAACAGAGTTCAAATAGGGACCAACCAGTTCCGCTTCGATATTTGTGGCGAGAACTATTTGCGTAGTAGAAAATCTGAATGCGAGAATTAGTCCAAACGAATTTGATTAATGTTGATGAAGTTTTCCCGTTTTGTTGACTTTACGTTGACTCCGTACCGCAGTAGTGAAGTCGCGTGTGGGACGTACTCAACACAAAAGTATTCATTACGAAAGAAACAATACAAAAATAAACAACTCGAAAAAACAATCGACAATGGCATAGTTCTGAGAGTGTATGTTGTGTTGTGCTATGCCTTGTTTTGTGTGCAATTCGCCAGTCTATTTTATCGTCATGCAGTTTATTTATAAAATGGCATTCGGTTCCATTATCTTAAAAATAAAATCGCACAAAACGAACAGTCAACAATAGCGAAATCAGCAATAATGACTGACAAATAATCATGAAAAATTACCAAGAGGCAGGCAACGGCAGCAGCGGCAGAAAAACAATAACAATTTCAGTAACAGAAACAGAAAAGCCAAAATAAAGCAAACAAAACAAGAACACCACCTTGGAATTGAAAGTTAATTTCGCAGAAAATCTGTATGAATCACCGGGGACCAAAATTGAAATGAAATCATAAGTACATATTTCCCCACCCATCCAAGGCAAATATGAATAAAAATAATAATAATTACCCAGCAGCAGGGACGTTTTTGCGGCTGATTGCTAATCTTAGAATGTCTCGCATCTGCCAGATACAATTTACGTGCCGCGCTGCTGTAAAAAGGTACTAAGTGTATCTCCCTGCCTTCGCTATCCGTATCTTTGTATCTTGCATCTGTATCTGCTACTCTGCTTACTCGTTCTCCTGTGATTTACAATCCCCAAAAATAAAAAAGTTCCAAGAGTACGACGGCAGTAGTATATAAATATTTAACACACACTGTCTGTCCGTCGCCGGTTTGTCTTTCAAGGTTCAGCAAATGTGTAAATAAATCAAAAGCCGTTGGACTTACATGAGAGCAAAATGTGATGAATGCCAGGCCGAGATATGAAGTATTGCATCCATGCCACAAATCTAAAGGTGAAAAAGGATAACACATTATTTATTGAAAAAGTAAAATACACTTATGCCATAAACAAATCCAGAAATATTTACCAAAAAGAAAGTGGATGTTATTAAAAAAAAAATATAGTGAAGTAGCATCCTTGAGATCTTTGAAACGATTCTCTTCTCATCAATTAACGGAATAAGATGCGCAACGCTCTAGATAATTTTTGAGTTTGAATTTGTTTCGGTGATATAATTTCTTAGAATCATAACTCTTAATAGTAATGGTATTCTTAAGAAACGCTTGTTACCTATCTCAACAAAAACTTAAATGTGAGTCAACCCCCTCGTTCTGTTTCTTGCTAAATCTTGCCCTGTGCGGATATATCTGATTTTAGCTTAACTGAATAGTTTCATTATGCGCCGTATCATGGCTATATCTTATCGTGGCTATATCAATGCCATGACTCACACACTTACCGCATAAACAAACCCCCTAGCCGACCCACCGACCCTTTTGCAGTTACAATTGATTACGGCGCGTACTTCAGTTCCAGTTAAGCGTAAATATTAACACTGAACCATCATCAGCTAAAACGCGAAGTCGAGACCCCCTACACTAGAGCCAACCGTCTCCACGCCCACACCCATGCAATGGCGAGCCCTTCCCCTTTTTGAATAGGAATTCCTGTAAGTGCGTGAGTAATGTGACGACATTAATTTTCACACTCATTACAACTCCATTAGGTGGGTCCGAGGGAGCTCTGGCTCGGACTGGAAGTAGGCAATGGTATTGGGGTATCGGCCACCTTTCCTCTTTCATTGTTTTTTTTTTTTAGCCACCCAGAGTTGTGCAAATAGAGCAACAACAAGAAAAAACTAGACACGGAAAACCGTGGATGATTTCCGTATGCACGCACGAGGACCCCAATCCTTCCGCCTCCTGACCAAGGGGAGCGAAGTGTCAACAGAAATTGGACTTTGTATACAAATCGAGGTCATTACAGCAGTAGTATTACCGGGGGTAATTGGGGGAAATAAAAATGTGTAAGCCATTAAGAAAGGTAGCTTCCGCGCGTCGAATTTTCTATTCCCTCACAAATTACAATTGGATTCAAAAATAAAAAATTAAATTACCATGAATACTGACGGCTTTTTAATTTAAATGTAAAAGATTATTTTTAAAGTCGTATAAAATAACTATATCCTAGGGCTTTGGCCCCAAGACTACATTTCTGAAAGCTCTTATTCAAACGGCTCTAAAACTGAGAAACTAGTTTTTGTGGAAACGGACGGTCTACCTGCCCATGACAAAGGGTCATGGCTTAAAAAAATCGGAAAATATACCCTAAGGGTCGGAAATAACACTGTGTTGCAAACTTTTGACTTAAATTGAAATACCCTGAGATATAGTATAAAAATATACTCAGAGGAAATACAATAAGAAAAATATCGCATCAAATATGCAGTAGTAAGATTTAGCTTGAGGCTAAATAAATGAGGGTCAGGGACTCGCATATATTCACAGATTTTCACAAACTCTTTAAGGTAAGAAAAACTTCGGTCCTTTAGGTCCTGGCCCAAACCATCCTTTGGCCTTATCAACTTAAAAAATTAACAACATTATGGTAGAAATGTTTTTTGTCTTTAGGTCTCTGATGGCGAAACGTCTATGCCCTCAAGGAGGCCGCCGTCGCTGCCGGTCACACTAAGGACTCGTAGGAACATAAGGCAGGGACAGGGACCCATGGTATTCCCAAAGCAGGGAAAATCTATCGGTCAAGGTACAAGACATATTGGGCCTCCTCTGGCACAGCCTGTCATTTAGCATTCAACTCAGCGACTGCCCCGAAATTTCTACATTCCAACAAATTCTTGCACCGCCTTCTTTTCCCAAATGCAGTCACGTAATTTTCGAATTTCCAGCAACATCGACGAAGAGACACCCGAAAATTTCACTAGCTATCCAGGGGAGAGGCAGGCAGTCAGACAGGCTGGCAGGCAGATGGAATAAATGCCCGCTGCGTTTATCGTTAGACAAAGCGACGGCATCAATTTGTATCTGTAAATTAGTATTCCGTTGCAATTTGCCACGGACACACCAAAAGCAAGAGTACACCACAGAAACCCACACAGAAAAACAAACAAATATACTATATATACATATAAATACATTGATTCTGGGCGGTTTGTTGTTGATAATGGTTGGTGGTCGGTGATGGCGATGGGGCGCCGCCGCCAACTTTATGCGGGATATCCGTCCACACACGCTCACATTTCGTAGGGTGTCGCCTCTAGCCTCTAACTCTGCTACCATCGCATCGAATCTCATTTTGGCATTCGATAATAATCGCATTAATAAAGCGTTTTTGTCCCAACCCCAACTCCTTTACCTCCGTCCAGGACCCTCATATATCACACACGCAGTCACTCATTCACTCACTTGCCTCGCCGCACTCGCTCCCTCAGCCTATTGAAATTAACAGTTAATTTAACTAATAATTGTTTAAATAGGCCTTTATCATGATGGATTTCGTTGCGGCTCTTCTGGTGTCATGGCCTGTCAACACTTTGCCCTGATATTCTGCTGGTCAGTCGGTCCAGTGTTTCTGAGGAGTGTATTTCTGGTTGCGTCTGCTATGAACACTGCCCAAGTTAAAGTTCAGTTTTTAAGATAAAAGCTACTTTTGTATTTCAAGTTGTTTTACATTTTTATGGGTTGTTTAAGAGAGTTGGGTGGGAAAACGCAATGTGCTGTTAGTTACATAAAAATCCTACAAAATATTTAAAATTATCTTTCACTTAAAGTCCTAATGCGAGCTCTAAACAGTAAATATTAGACAACTTTGTTGAAGAAATAATATATTTTAATAGAAAATGGCGCAAACTGTTCTCCTAATTCCACAAGTTCCTTTAGAAACAATTGAAGTGCACAACATATACATTTAATTAATAAGGCTTCAGAATTTAAGAAGATTCCTTCAAATACTAAACTCTTCCCTTAATGCTTTTTCTATAAAGACATTACCAATCCAATCCAATCTAATCCATTCCGTTCCAGCTCTCCCTCATTTAAACGCAGTCTAGATTATCCCATTTGGCCTAATAACGCTCATGACTATCCATATGCTGCATCTACTATGTATACTCCCACAGAAACATCGTAAAAAGCTTTCAACGCTCTAATAGAGTAATCTGGCCTGCTGGCCTTCCTTTAAGTCCTCTGTCTCCTTGTTGGCCTAAGATCTGTCGGAGCTGGCGAGGAGTTCAAAGCCGAACCAAGGCCAATCACTGAACCTACCTACACAGAAATCTGTGCGCTCCTCCGGATACTTGATTTAAGCAAAGATGGGTCAGGGAAAAAACAAGACATCGGCACGCCGTTGTCTGTATACCCTTCCAGGTTGCAATTCGATAATATAATTAGAACTGAAATTCTAAAATAACACAAAGTGACTATATCTTTAATTAGATTAAAGTTTATTGAAAACTGAAGTTTTCTTCTATAATTTTTCAAATGTTTCATGGCAGCTACATGATATAGTCGTCCGATTTGCCGTTTCGAGTTTTATAATATCAACTGCAAGATTAAAATCAGATAACTTCAAAAATTATGAACTAGTGGAACAAATAGGAGCTTAGCTCTAATTGGAGGTATTGTACTGGGCCTCACCACTGAAACCTACCTACCCACCTTATAAATTCGGACAGAAGGAATCAAGAATATATGTTCTTTAAAGGGTCCCTGCGTTGCAAACTTCTGACTGCAATTATAATACCCTGCAAGGGTATAAAAATAAAATAAAATCGCCTCATGGCGCCCACTGGCGCAGAGACACCCACAGATGTCTCCAGCTGGCGGAGAATTATCAACTGATTTAGTGTTGGGTCAGTTAGCAGTAAAATTCCACACTTTTCTTTAGAATTTCACACACATCCGTACAGTGCGGAGCAGCGAAAGGCAAAAGGGAGGCGGATTGTGACATCAATTGACACGAAAGTTCAGCATAAATATTTGCCCAGATAAAAAGCAAACACTCACTGGGAAAGCGGGAAACCGGGTCGGGGACAAAGAGACACCCATAAATTCCAGCGGTCATTCTCATTCACCGAGAGGGAGAGCGAGAAATAAAGAGAGGAATCTCAGTGTATGCGACGACCATTTAACGACAAAGAATGGAAAAGAACAATTTGTGAATATGCGGCAAACAAATGGAGACATCGCGGCCAGACTCCAATTGCCAAAGCCAAAGGGAACGGGATGCAACAGCAGATACAGATACATATGGGGATATAGTTAACGATACAATACAGCCGGGCTGAATGCGTTTCGAGGATGATGACGGCGCTTGATCATTGCATGATTCACACTGCCCCAAAAACTAATTAGTTCCGGTACTTTATGAGGTCTGCAACAATGGTGATGATGGATGAACCCAGGTGGCGTGAATCATGGTCTGAACTGATATACACAGGGATATATATATTTTTTATATATATTAGTCCCCTATTGGTTTACTCTTTTGTCGAAAATAATACTAATAAGAATTATTTCATCTTACAGTATTTGAAAGTAAACATTCATGTTTGCCAAACAATAACTTCCGGAAATTCTTTCCTTTCTCTATTTTCTTCTCAGTAATTTATCACAATATAAATTTCCTCGAACCTTATTCCCCGAAACGAACTTATTTGGATTAATGCTCTCCACGCTCAATATTTATATATACCAAATAAGATATCCCATTTCCGATGCATTTTGACGTATCCATCAATTCCATTCGTCATCCGTTTAATTTTCCGCATAAATTGTGCATTCGTGTGAGGCTGTTGCAAGTGTTTTTCGCAATTTATCAGGCAGCTGTGTCTGCTATTTTCGCCACAATAATGCCAACGAAATGGAGGCGGTAATTCAATGGCGTCATTATTATAATATTGATCCCTGGGACAAGTAATCCGGGGGAGAAACTGAAATGACTTCACACTGCCGTCAGCCGTTGGCTATCAGCTGCCACCCGCCGGCACGT